TGGTAGGTTTTAACATGGAGAGTCCATAAGGAAATGAATGCGCGACTGAACGCCCAGTGAATTATTAACCGCGCTCACGGGTCGAGGTATCGCGTGAGCAACGTAAGATTGGTAACCGCTCGGGTAAATTTAAAGATTGGTGAACAAAGTTAACGTACGTGGCATATACACTACGTAGGTATTAATATAAAGTCGACAGAACGAAAATCCTTGGAAATATGCTAAACTCCTTGTACGATGAAATCATCGGCACGCGACTCACTCGCATGATAAGCTTCATTTGTACATATATGATATATATGTGTATCGATGTTAATAAAACGTTGCCACACGGTAGGTGAACATAAATTCATTGACGGATACGTCGATTCATGAAATACAGCGTGTACGTTCGTACCGAATCGGCGTAACCTGTAAATGTCAGAAATTAGTCTCATAAATTACCGGTAGGCCCTTATCGTTGCTATACAATACAAATGGCGCAATGAACGTATTAGCGCAGGTTTGATTACGTTGGAAGGTAAACAGTGTGTAGCTTTATGGCACAGTTGACATGTAAATCAAGCTTTGAGTCTTGAATGAAATTAAGCGTGTTGATCTGCCCCTTTTACAAGTGCAGTATATAAATGTCCAATGCGAAATGCACTTGTGAATTATTTCACGTATCCTGGGTCTAATGATTGAATATGCGTGCCACCCGGTATATAATATCGCACGTATTATTTCACTGTCGTACATAAGGAGCGAACAGTGACGTACTGTCGCTTTTATCGTACCGGTATTTTACATGTGTACGACTGCGATAAGAATGCCCACTGACTCCGTCTAGCCGAGTTCGAACGGGAAATGGCGTCTCGTTCCTCCGGGCACTAATAATAAAACCATTCTTGAATAAATGCGTGAGTAAGAAGCGACGAGAGGAGCCTCGAGAAAGAGAGATAGAGCGGATAGCAAGAAAAGAGGGGTGCGAGTGACAGAGAGAGAAGAGAGGGAGTAATCGTATGCGTGAGAATGAGGGGTGGGGGGAGAGGGGGGGGAAACGTAAACACAAGCCTCCATTCTCAATTGCAAGGATAGCAGCAAACCGTGGCGAGTCATATCTCCTTCCAGTCGGCCGCAAAGAAACAAAGAGCTTCTCTGAATTATTACAAGGAGTCTAGTGTACCGGCTACTGGATACGCGTGAGTTCCTCGAATTCCCGTATGGGCAACCATTTTTGTTGTTTCGATGCTTCCTTGGCGGGGATGCAAAAAAAAGGATTTTTTTGCACCTGCGAAAATATTACCCTGTGAAATATACGATTTGGAGGATTTAAAAAAAATTATTATCAAAATATAGGGAAGGTGGTGGCATCTATTTTAATTGGGATTAATTACTGGGATTCACTTAGCTAATGAGACTTATTAAACGATACGTCTTCGTATTAGGTGTACAGGGATCGAATGGATCATTTGCCTTTCTAATGACCCATATTTCATGCATATTTCATGGCAGCGTGCAATGCGTATTGCCTTGCTATAACTACACCATAGGCGTTCTGATATTTGCACGGTTAACACGTACTTATAATGTTCCGGGGACGTTTCACTTGCGTGAGAATCGCGGGAATTTCTCTGGATTTGTAATACGACTGTACTGTAGACGTGCAATTATTTTATATAAAGGTGAGATCGGTAACGATTTTCACAATCGAATCTCGCATAACGCGAGACTCTCGGCAGTTTAGTTTGACGCAATAAACTTATCTATGAATATGCATGCATACAGTGGCTGTGGGCGATAGGCATTCTGCACCAGTCGTTTTGTTTTTTTTAAAGTCTTTTGACGGTTCTTGATGAAATTTTTTTAAATTGATTTCCTTTGATTTCTCGATACTTGCCAATAACCGAAAATTTGCCGTTGCTACATCACTGTATAATAGTTGTGGTGCCATCACGTTTCCACGTAATTTTGTCCAATACCGCATTTTTTGTATTATTCCGATTTCCACGTGGCGTGATATATTGATTTGGAAAGAAAAAAATTTGTGACGCAAGATTCATTCCAAGGTTGCTGCAGGTGTTCGGTATTTACAGGTGCAGAGTGCATCAAGAGATTCATATGGGAATTTCCTATACTTAAATGTATAGTACAGTGTTATGAAGGTATAGTACGTATAAGGATAGTGAGTATAGGAATTTCACGAAGTAGAGATATAGTTTATTTAATAGGCGCAAATTGAAAAATTTGTCAAAAAATCTTTTGCCTAGACTAAACATTCTCAGTCGGATTTAAAACTAATCGTCCCGACCATCGATCGTGCGAATCGCCAAGTTATTTCGTCCATTTAAAACTAGAAGCGACTTGAGCAATTCCGATAGGTAGTTTGACTATTTTCTTTCCATACTTTTTTTCGCTGCAGCAAATTTCTAGAAAAATTCAACTGATTTCCCTGGCGGCGTATTTCGCGACGAGCGTGAGGTAAATTCGCGTAATGTTAAACGTAAAAACGCGGTAACGTTTCGGTTTTCTCGAAATTCTTACATCCGACTCGTCCTAGTGAATTATTTCCAGCACTACAGGGAATCACGATTTACCACGTATAAGATTTGCGTAAATATACAGTCTGCTCGTATGTGAAGTGATCACGTGAGACCACTGAAAAAAAAGGATTCTAACCTACGTTTAGTTTGTTTTGGGCTTGGGAGTAAAAGTTACCTCTGTGAAGTTGGCCCCTCATTATAAAAATTAATTTAAAAAAGTTAGAGTTCTACTTGCCCCCGGAAGAGTTCTAGAGTTCATGATAGTTTTTAGAAATAGTTATGTCGATTAAATGCAAAAAATTGCGATATTTGGAAATGGGGGGCCAACTTCACGGCGCCCCCCATTTTTGAAAAAATGTAATTTTTTTGACAGTTCTGAATAGATTAACAATAGTTCTACAGTTCTCTGCACTTTTCATCAATAGTTCCGGTCATTATCCGCTTCAAAATAAAGTTTGAAAAAATACGTCAGCCCCCCATCTTTTAAAAAATCGTATTTTTTTTAGTGTTCCGAATAGTTCTCAAAGAGTTCTACAGTTCCCTATAGGTTTTGGGTACAATACATATCCAAATTTCGTCAAAAAATCATGTTGGAAAAAGTATTTCAAAAAATCAATTAATCGTATAAAATCCGATACCCCCAGAATACTCGATGGATTAATGAAATCCAGGTATTCGTTTTGTAGAACTCTTTGAGAACTATCCGGAACTCCCATCAGAACTCCCGGAACTCTTAAATCCGATACCCCCCGAATACTCGATGGATTAATGAAGTCCAGGTATTCGTTTTGTAGAACTCTTTCAGAACTATCCGGAACACTAAAAAAAATACGATTTATTAAAAGATGGGGAGCTGACGTATTTTTTCAAACTTTATTTTGAAGCGGATAATGACCGGAACTATTGATGAAAAGTGCAGAGAACTGTAGAACTATTGTTAATCTATTCAGAACTGTCAAAAAAATTACATTTTTTCAAAAATGGGGGGCGCCGTGAAGTTGGCCCCCCATTTCCAAATATCGCAATTTTTTGCATTTAATCGACAGAACTATTTCTAAAAACTATCAGGAACTCTAGAACTCTTCCGGGGCAAGCAGAACTCTAACTTTTTTTAATTAATTTTCATAATGAGGGCCCAACTTCACAGAGGTGTGAAATTTACGTTGGTCATCCGTCTAGGGTATAAGTCTAGTTTAAAACGACGATTTATACTAAAATATGCTTTTTGTATTTTCACAAAGATTCTCTTACTTACTCTGCTATGAGCATATGTGTCTAGTCCAAGGTTCAGTATTCGAAGGGATGCTGGTAAAATGATCCTGACGTACAGTGGGTTTCTCTTTCATTGTCAGTATCATATCTTATACTTAATGTACAAGCTTCTACATATATCGCTTCTTCAAATTTGTAATCGCAAACCATTATGCCTTATACACAGCAAACATTTCTGTATACCTTAGCAACCTAACTCTGTCACGAATACGGTTGGTATTCTTATGTACTAAACTGTCATTCCCTATCGCTGTGGCTGCTAAAGTTCCATATGTGAATAAACTATATACGTAGCCACTGTCTGGAGCGTATGTACACGCAAGCATATTCTTAAGTCCCGCGCACACGTAACCGACGACACGTCGGCATTCGAAGAGATGCATACGCTCCAACCAGAAGTCAATCTACGAAAGAGCCACTAGACGGTAATCCGCGAAAATCGTTTCTGTCGCCGACAATGTATACAAATGCCACACGGTGCTACCTCGTGAAACGCGACGGCGTGCTTTCATTTCCAACGAGCGACTTCTAGGCGCTCTCTTAAGCGTGCTTTTCGCGGACAAGAATGTTGCAATATATATCATCAGCGTGGATATAAACTTTATTATTGTTCTATTTTATTTTTGCATTTAACTAGCGTTTAAAGTTTAGCCATGTTCTATACGCAATAAGAAATTTATTAGGAAGCACAGAGATAGCTGCGTATAGACCCTAAAGACTAAAGGGTGACCATAAAAACAAAAATGAAGCTTATCGACAGCCATGACGTGAATGTGCGCACTATGCACCATAGTATATACAGTCGAAGATTCCGATACGGGTTTGTTGGTCGGTTGGTAGTCCTTCAGAAATCCGGTCGAACGTGATCTAGAACGACAAAACCAGTGTCCGCACGGAAAGACTCGTTCGACTTCTTTCTTGTCGGGAAGAATCGCGCTAGGTGCAACTGCTTCTGAGTTCTGACATTCCCACCAGGGTTTATGTACATAAAGAGAATCTGAGAAGCGGCATATGTAAGGTATACAAAGAAAGAGATAAAAACGAGTAATGTCAGATGGAAAAAGAAATGCGCGTGAAATATTGCAATATATTCGCACGACACTCGAAAAAATTCCATTGTACGCAACATTATCGAACTGAAGTCTGTGAACGAGGCTTTAATGCCAAATAACGTGTGATTCGCGAGTAAAAATAAATACGACTCACCGAAAGTTCCTTTGTTACTCGAATTCCTTGATTTCTCCAATTATCGCTGACGAATCAAACTCCTGGCTCCTCGTTTATCGAGGTTCTTTAATTTCACGAACTTAAATGCGTAAGACACTTTTTGAACGACACTATAAGTACAATACTCATCACCAATAACAATCAACAGTGTAACAAGTGATTAACAATAACAATGTCATCGAGATCAACTGTGTACGTGATTTATATGTATACTCCCAAAACGTGGCGCGATAGGTATGCTGCGAGGCAGAATATAAACTGTATTCTCACTGTCCCAGCCACGTTCACAACGGACGCGACCAGTTGATAAACGTGAACTGACTGTGGCCGCGACTGTATGTGCGCCGCTTGTAGACTTGAAGACTATCCACACGATTCTCGGCGCCGCGCGCAACTGCTGCCTTGCTTCTAGTAGGCTGGATGGGTGGTTGGCTGGATAGCTGGGTGACTGGGTGACTGGCTGGCAGGTTGGCGGGTTACCTTTCTTGATTCGCGCAACGCTTCCGACGTTAGCATCGTTCGGACACAGCATGAGGCTGATACATCTTTGTGTAAAAATCGACCTTTCCGGCTGACCTTTTGAACAGTGTCTGCTCATTCGACGAGCTCCGTGTTTACACGCATCTTGAACTCTATTAAGGATGTTCCCCAGGATATCTTATGAAGTAAATAAACGTAGATTGTCACGTACCGTGTGATATTTAGCCGTGAAATTCTATAAAGGATCCTATGACTATAGGATTTTATCATGTTATTAAATCATATAGAATAAAACTACAATAATGTACTGTACTGAATTTTTTAAATATTCTATTGTCTTTTACGTGTTATTCTGCTCAACGTGGATAGTACAAATCGATAAAGATTTTTATACGTAAAATAAATAAAAGAATTCTTATCAAATAGAATGTCGACACATCCGTTTCTCATGTAGTTAATGAGAAAGTAACTTTGCTCTTGTGCGGGGAAAGTTTGTTATACTTGAAAAGGGACCAATATACTGTATGTACGTCAATTCTGGGACACGAGAAACTCTTTAATATCGATAATAGCGACATTGATTGCACCTTTTCTTATTTTTACTAACTTCTTCCTGATCGTTGAAAAATTGACCAATAAAACAGTAATTAAATCAGCACCAATCGAACTATAGCGTTGCCTTATAGTGAATGTTAATTTGCAAACCACCTCCATTACGGGGACTGCGGACAGCCTTTGCGCGCACTTTGCCAATATTTTGCAGGCCGCTCCTTTCCGCATTGTGCAAGCTTATACCGCTGCGCTGCTGCATTGTAAAATTGTAAATTCACGGAAATACTCGCCAGCAAGCAAATCATCCGAGACTACCCAAAGATCAGAGTATACTTTGAAAATCAAACTACGGTATATTTTTCGAAATTATATCTTCGTTAGATCTGAATTCGTCAACAATCCTACTAATATTCTTTCCGAAAAATTGTGTCTCTATAGAAGACACTAAATAATGGGGAGAATACTACAAGCCATCTAACCACTAGGATTCGCTCGAATTGGTCCAGAATAGAAGGAAGACGATGCCAACCTCTACGTTCAGTCGTTCCATCCGATCAATATATCCGAGCAAAGCAAAAGCACGCAAGCCGCCGACTGTTTTTGGGTATTTTTTATAGCTACAACACACTGTAATTTGATTTCAGAAACACAGACTTACCATTAGGTAACATACTCGAATGTTCTTTTTATGGCGGAGACCAATTCAAGGTCGAGTGAAAATAGAAGCAGAAAAAGATTTTCTAAATAAACTAATACAGGCGCATCGACTCGGATACTTGACTTTGCCTTTAGAAACTTTCTCACTGGTTCGTATATGTATATCTATAGTCATCTGTATCCACTAACTCAGTTCGTACGCGCTGGCTATACTTGTGTCTTTGTTCGAGCAGTACGTAGTCGTATTTGAGTTTACTTCACGGAAATTTAATATTAATGTCGAATGCACTGGGGATGCGGGAAACTTGCTTGCGAGATTTCCGGTTAACATGGTGCGCACCCTGCGGCGAAACGCTGCAACACTGCGAGGTCAGATGGAAATTAATTTATTAGCAATGTACGCGCTATGGGTTTATGTCAGAATCGAGTATGAACAGTGCAGTTTATGAGTGAAGAGCACTCATACGTAGATATGTGAGAGTTAAGTAAACATTATCATTTATTCAAAACCACGAAAGCTCACAGGATTAATTTGCATGATTTGCTTGCAGTTATTATTAGGGGTGCAATACCGGCAATGAATACACATATTTTATCAACTTCCTGTATGAACCATTGATCTGATCATTATTGTCTTTTTTCTACAGAATTATCATCAAATTAAAAAAAAATAATGCACGAAGTACCCTGTAGTCGTTTTTAGACTGTTGAAAAATAGGGAACTAACTTACATACGGTTGATTAATGAATACTAATTAGTTAATTATCTTTGACGCCGTGGTACCTTGACAAGAGAAAAGAGATGAATTCCAAATGAATTTGTTAAAAAGCTTACCGGAAGTATCGCTGAGTGAGGAAGCAAGTACAAAATAAAGGACGTTAGGAACGTACCAGTTTCGAGATTGCAAATAAAGTGTAGAAGCTACTTTTCCATTACGAGCAGCACTCTGTTATGCCAGGTACGTAATTATCGTTCGCCTTCCGCAACGGAAAACGCAGTCGCCCCGCAACGTGCGGTCACTTTATTATACCAAAATGGCACGTGTCGCCATTCTCTCTTGTTAACCTTTCTCATTGATAAATATATTAATATGAGGATTTCATAGAACACCGTCTTTCGCGACAATACCAAAAACATCCATCCCCTCCTATCCTTGCAGTGCATTTATTTGATTTTGTTCCAAAAGATGAAATAAAAACGAGCAGATATGTACCGTCCTATCAACAAATCAATTATCAGACGTTAAAACGTCATCTTTAGTCACACACTAAATCCAACAAAATTTAATTAGTCATCCATCTTCTCGTCGAGTCATTGCCCTCTGCTCGTGTCCCGCTTTGCGAATAATTAACAGTTTGCGAATTCGTGCGGTTCTCGGATTGCGGATTACTAGCAGCAGTCTTTACCGTGTGCTGCGTCGCCATAATAACTGAGCGACGTACAGCGACGCTAGCGGATATAATTAGAATGACGGTGTATGAAATTATAAAATTGTACAACATTCAATTTCACGGTTGCGAGAAAAATTATTATTTCCCTACACGAAACCTACTTTCTAGCTATCCTGTATCTTGACACTTTCCAATTCGTATTATAAAAGTCCAGCAAGAATGCAAGGGAAAATCCTGAAGCGCACGTGACCGCGTGCCATACAGACATAGGTTTGTAGGTTAAGGGCGGAAAAAGACGGTGGGGTTTGAATTTTTAAATGTCATCGATGTGGCCAGGAACAAATTGCATTGCCGCCCACGTGTCGCGGGTGCAGAATTAAAAGGCAAACCATTACCAGTTTCCTTCCGGTATCTATTGAATATCGATTTGACGATGACTATGCGCAGGTCAGGCCCCGTTTATCCCACCTGAGTACATATCTACCTAATTGTACTTGTTGCACTGGATACTTCACATCCTGGACGGTGGCCAAGATCATTTCAAAGGTTATACGATTTTAATTAAGTTTTCATTTGAAAATCTGTCCACTTGTTTCCGAATGATTCACTGTGGCCCGGATACCAGTTACGTACTTCCGTTTTTTTATATATTTAAAAAAGACATAGGAAACCGTAGTGTGCACTCAGGAACATATTTCAGGCATCGTCCAATAAATTAGGTAAAGCAAGTGACTTACTAATTTGTCTTGCTAAACCTAAGGGTTATCCAGTTCAAGATAGGTACAGGTGCGTACACAACGGATACGTGTTTATTCAAATGTGTACATATACCTACAATGTCAGATAAGCCTCGAGACGTATTTGCTCGCGTGTCGATCACCGCCATTATCGGTAATCCTTGTTTGAACGGAAGTTCACTGATGATTAGATCAGGTGAGATTTACTTAATTTTTCTTTATAAAGATTGACCATTTTTTCATCTCTTATATTATTTTTCACCAAGCCTAACGAGCATTTTCATTAATTTGGTCTTATTTTTCTTAGGATGATGATAAAGTAAGCATCTGCACATAAGTACCAAATTTCGCTTAAGGATTCATCAAGGCACTCTCACTATGCAATTATGAAGACCTGATGGATACGATATAACCAAAGTCTAATTAAGATCATTGTGAATTGATTAACTGAAGTTTACCCAACTCTGCATTCTGGATCTGTAATTGAATATTAATTCAGTTAAAATTTATCTCACATACTTCGAGGGGCTTCGTGGATGCTGTGCACAGGTATAATAGGATTAGTATAGATTTAATTTCTCCCTTTAGTATACAATGCTCGGTTATTATTTTCAAAACAAAATTATTGATTATAGGTATAACAGTGAATTCAATTAGCGAACCGTTAATAATTTCTGAAGATAAATCTGAGAATAAATGAATTTCTGAAAATAAATCGTGTTTATGTATATGAAAACCGTTCGCAAAATTGAATATATACACGATGTACACACTACACCACTTACCGAACCAGCATCGATTTCTTGAAAACCTTCACGGCCTATGAAACCCACCTTAGAAAGTTGACAGCTCGGAAAATGGCTTCTCGACCTTTCCTTTTTGTAGGGACCCAAAAATGTACTTGATAAAGCTTGGCTACGTTGTACTTACAGTAATCCTTGTCTTCGTTTATATACAGGATTATCCTTTTGATGTATGAGACAACTATCTTCCCCTTCCCCCACCCGTGCTCCGCTCCAAAAGACATTTTAATTATAAACAGATGTCAGAAAACTGACCCAGCAGCCTGGAAAATTTCACTTTTTGGCTATCTTTTATATTTCCGCCTCCAACCCACGTAGAAATTATTTTCATCACCGGTCGAGAAGATGCCACATGTGGTTATCTGGATACAATATGAATACATGTATAAATATACAAATATATCCGTATCACATGGACATAACGAAATTCTCATTGAAATAACTGGTAACACTTTTTATCGTTTGTTCATGCCCCACGTTATTATCGTCGCTCTATAAGTATTATTCCAATTCCGCCTGGATTTGACAATTCGTGTGATTAGATCGGGACTAAGTAGGCGGAATCACGACGCAATGTTCGTTCGATCGACTTGGTATAAGAGAAAAGGAAGGGGGAAAAATAGAGATAGAATAATATGAAAGAGAGATTAAATGTTCTACGAATTTTATACATCGATATTACTTTTGGGCGGTTCGCAAGAGAATTATTCCTTGAAATGGGAATCGAGAAGATCCTTCGTGAACGAAAATTATTTGCGATTCCTTAAGCTTGCGTCGCACCATTGAGATTTATCGAAATCCTCTAAAAGGTTCCCTTGCTGCTCCCACGAGGATGCTGGTATACCTATATGTATTATGGCAGAGAAAGTAGGGAAAAGGATAGGCGACGAAATGAGAATGAAGCTTATTCGAGAAATACAAATCCCCACAGCCATGTTTAATCGGGCGTTATTAATTAATTTACGCTTGATTGACTCTACACGTTGCTACTACGAAAAATCGTACATTTAAATGCCATAAATATGTCGAGTGTGCGGTTACTAGCGAGTGAGGGTAGCCTGTTATGATTTTAGAAATGCATTCTGGGTACTTGTTTACTATATATATATACATATATGTATATGTATATGTATAGGCATTTGTAGCTATAACCACGTCATCGGAAATCGTCATTTACGTTCGGGAATATCGAGTTTTCCGGCTTCGCATGAAAACTTCATTGCCGTTCAACCGAAACGATAAATTCCAATACGCGCCGTTGCGTAGCCGTCGATACGGTTTATGCAAATATTGCTACGTATATATAGAGCCTAACGATTTACCGATTTCAGCCCCTGGATATAATACGCGTACTGAGCACTTTGTGCATTGTATCATTTTTATATGTCAGTTTTTGTATTTTTTGTAGGTTAGACATGAATTTGGATTTATACAGATATTTCAAGTTTGCGTTGATATGTAATCGATTTGTTAATGGACTATTGTTAATTAAATTATTTGAAATGATCAATCCTGTTGAAAATATTTTTAATTCCATAAAGAAAATCGACCGAATTTAACGTAAACAGAGTATAGATGATTTTCAGTTGATAAACCTAAAAGCCTACCATTGACTTAATGGATTACACGGAAACGTCAAGTCCTTTGAATCAATTCACTGTCAAGATTATAGAACGATGCAACTAGGGGAATAAGAATTGGTTTTTGAGTAGGGGTTGTTTTTGAAATAGTACTTGATTCTACGAGACTGGATTGGTGGCGAAGTTAAGGGCTATGGGGCGCCACCGTATAATATTGATCGCGAGGGTTGTCAAGATGGCCGCGGGGGTGGCACACGTGTTGGGCTTGATCCTCCTCGTCGGCCACCTTCACCATGGATATGGAACTGTCACGAAAACTTTTGCATTTCCTGAATACCCCTATAAGGAAACCACGAAGAATGTAAGTAAAATTTGGACGTTTCGCTTCGTAACCTCCGTTCGTTAAAGAACACACCCTGCACGTTCTAATTATATGAAAGATCCACTATACAAAATATTATAATTTTCCATTCTAATAGCCCTTGTTCAATGTTAATATACCTAGTGCTATTTTATCAAATATAATACTTGTGCCGAGTTTTGAAAAATATCCCTCCAAGTGCATTTATTAAAAATCCACTTAAAAGAAATCGAATTCAATATCAATATCGGGGTGCTGATTGAAATAGCTGGGTGAAAAAATTAGGTGCGCACGTGGTTGGAGAAGTCTTAGAAACGCTAATTGGGGTTAATTTACGTAGTCGCACTCACCAATTGTTGCATTTGGTTTCATCCGGTTACAATATACCAGACGTATAGCAAACAGCCTGTCAAACCTTGAAAGATTGCATCTTCTGTACTTTGATTTTTTTTGGTTTAAGTCAATTATTTTATTTTACAGGAACTTCTCTTCCGAGAGTTGGAACAAGCTTGCGAGGAGAGCGGTGCTTGTAAAATGTTGTCACAGCAAAGAAGTGGAGTAGCGAAAACAAGATGCATTCGAGAATGCGTGTCGCCTTCGTGTTACAAGGAAATATATTTGTTCGATCAGGTAAAGGAGAGAAATTTACACTTTTTTGAGAGATATTTTCTTTGCTTCTTTTTTCTATTTTTTAATGTTACATTCTAATTTAGTTGGGCTATGATTAATACATGTTTTTAGCTTGAAGAGGGGGAGATTGACGTAAGACTGAACTCATTTAAGGGCTGTTTTATGCAACGGAGTGGAAGACCCAGAAAATAGCGAGAAAAGTGATTCTCGTAAATGAAATATATATATATATATATGTATATATATATACATACATTTAGCACATAAGATTTACACATGGCAGAGTGGGTAATTTTTTACCTATTTTAGATTAGTCGTTATAGAGGCATTGAGATTGTTTAACCTATCAAATGTAAATATCATATTTTACATATATTCTTGTAAATTTAATATTGCACACGACTATCGTTCACATGTTTTAAAATATATTCCTCCCTTAGTCTGATTCTAGTTAATACATTATGTAAAATTAATAATTTCTATATACGAGTAACATATTAAGACAGTAAACAATTAAACATACTCTTTTTTACGCGCGAGAATTATTCATTGGGAGATATTAAGGATGGGTCAAATATTTTGATCTGTAAGAAGAAAAGAAATTGTAATTAAAGCTGGATGAAAATTTGCACGAAATAAAGAATTTTTCATATTATCCTTAAACTCACTGATTGCTTTATTCTTGACAGTACGTCGCCGATGTCAGGTTGTGCGGTGTCAATAGTTTTGAGAAAATTAACTAAAATGTCTAACGTCCGTTCAAAACAATCTCTGGATAGTGCCCTGGACTTGTCTCTTTCCTGTGCGACACTAATATCAAAAGCAATTTTTCTATAGTGCAGCCAGCAGCTAAGAAATTCCAAAAAATCAGTACTGATGTGTCCAGATACAATAGTCATTTTAATAAGAAGCGCAGTGAAATGCTGTTCCGTTAAGTTCTTTAAAGTTTCCTTATCTCCAGAAGAATAGCAACATTTCAGTACACCAGAAAGACAAGAGTAAACCAAATCTCTGACTTCTACTCCATTCTAGAAGAACAACGATAATAATAGTTCACTGAAATATTCGCCGTTGCAAAGGAACCATTTTGGTATCATAAATGCATTTACTTTAGCATGGACAACATGAAGTATTCTGTAAAGACTCTGCAAGGAGATTGCCCGTTCTTGATCGTCACGAAATTGGCGAAAGGTAACAGCTGGCTTATCCATCTTGTAGTTTAGAAGCACGTGGAGTAAATGCATTATGCATAAAGATTTGCTCTCATTAGCAAGTTCCCGGAACACGTCCATCATCTCAATCGGCAGTGAGTTTTCGCACTGAAACAAAGAACGGGAATTTCAAACGTCAAAATTGTTTTAACGAGTCAGTGTCAGATGGAATAAGTTAGGGTAACTGGATACCTGGATTAAAAGCTTCGTCTGGGAGAGTACAATGAGAGATAAAATCTTGAGGGATGCTGTGGCCAAGTCGAGATTCTCTTTTGAGAAACCACATGTTAATAAATCTTTAAGTATATCCGATTCATTAAGAAATACCTCGAGCACTATTGGTCAGTAATTAAGTGCACGTTATTCCAAGGTATATTATTTCTTTAAATATAATTCTATATATTCACCTTTACTGTCCTTACGAGATATGGATTTTAGTAGCATGGTGTATGCTTGGTTTACTGTTAAAGTCTTCAGGGAAACGTCCACGTCACTCCTGACGAAGGTCTTCATTAAGAGGATAGCGCAACACTTTATTGTTGCGCTGGAAACTCTTCTGGGTGGTGTTACATCTGCAATTTCCAGCATTCCTCGTACGTTTATACCTGAAAAATGTAAATGATGATTTAAGATTGTTTATACGAGATGATAATAATGTTTAATAATTATATATGTATATAAATGATGTCGCTAACTGGTTTCCGGTGTATATGATGTAAGGATGCGTGGTAAAATTTCCCAAACTATAACGGCCATTTTTTCAGCGCTTTCCTTGACTCTTGTCAATTCGCAAATTCCTTTCACTGCAAGATCCACCACCTTGGCGGAACCGGTTTCTACTGCATTCTATGTATTTACATTTATGTAAATAATGTCTGGTCAGTATTCTTATTGAAGAAATTAGTCGCGCTGTCGAAAATATTGGTAGATTTATTTACAAGTAGACTGTGACAAGTTGACTCCACGCAATCAGCTTCGATCAGAGACTTCATGTCGCCATCTGATTCAAGCCATAATTGTACAACTTTGGCTTTTAATTCCAATGAAATTTCTCCACTGTGAATACAGTGATAGAGAAGAGCTGGATGATGCGTGTAGCATTTATGTGCATCAGCTTTTAAAATGAGGCAATTTAAAAGTTGTACACATTTTTCATAATCCTTTACAGAAGACAGTGACGTGTGGGACAGGGCTGAAACCTGTGTAAATTACAAACTGTAATTACTGCCTTCATTAAACTTAAAAAAGAACATACTTACAGCAAATAGTAACCATAATGGCTTTACTATAGCAGCAGGCGTGACTTTATCGTAAGGAAGTGTTAAAATCTTTTCTACAAGAGATTCCAATAGCACGTCATCTTCTCTAAAAAAAATCAAATCTCTTTAATTTTCTAATGAAACTTTTCTTCTTCTATTGAGGTAAAAGGAAATCGTACTCGCAGGTGCTGAGAAAGTGATAGTAAACTATAAGTAAAAAAGCATCAGCGTCTATTCCATGAGTAGCTAACAACAGTTTCCAGTCGGGATAATATTTGGGTAAGGACATGACACCTTCCACAATGAATTGTTTAAAACAATTCAAACCTCCAGGCCAATTCTCAGCCGGAAGTGAGTCAACAGAAAGTGTCACAAGTATTCTGGACAGCAATAATAAAATTGCCCGATTCATATCCTGCCTGAAACATGAAATTTCCAGTTGGAAAGTTTTACGGCTGTATCGTTTTATGAATTATTGGCTTCAGTCACTTACGTGGGAAATGTCGTTAATCGCGAGAGATACTTCAGGTATCCTTTCGCTGCTAAGTGGTTTGACAAGTCGACGCAATTACAATCTCTCAGTCTGTACAGGTCGTTTAGGCAGCTTACGAGGTTCAAGTAAATCGTGGCACAGCTCGTTTTGATTTCCTGCTCAAGAGATCAAGACATGACTTAGTACCGGTTTACCATTCGAAATAAGAAAAGGTATTCTATATAGCAAAAAGTTTTGTTATACGGAATGACTCCTTAAATGTATAAAAGTAAACCTACTCTGGCACGAGGAATGATCACCTCCATCATCGTGCTGTATGTTGACAGTGCAAAGGAGCTTCTATGCTGGGCATTTACAATCCTGCCTGAATCTATGAACCCACGTGAACCCTCGTTGACGTAATCTTCGTTCGAGCAGAAGCTGCAAATAGAGTAAGATTATCAGTGTAGGACTAGTTGGGTTATATGTATACACGAAATGAGATATATGTAACACAAAATTCTAAATCAATTTATTATATTACTTACCGAGTACCAAGTGCGCAGGTGCGACAAATAACGGTCATAGCATTGAGAATATATTTTTCATCTATCTCAATCTGTTCAATGATACTTCTCATGGATCTTAAACTCTCTATATATAATGGGAGGATCACTACGAGATCATCGTTCCTTATACGGGGTAGTGCGTGGTCCATCATCAAGCAAAGAATCTTACTGGCTGAGAATCTTAATAGATAACTTGGTGACTTTGTGGTAATTAGATTTCCCAGGAACTCGAATATCTGTTCTGCGTTGCAGATTCTCTCTACGGGTACCGCCAGACGTTTCGCTCTGTTAAACAGATCATTTGTCATACGATATATAGATCCATCAAATACATATTCGTACGGAGTGTCTATCTTAAGATCCGTGTGATTCTTACCCACTGAGAATAACGAACAGCGTGCACACGGCACAGCCTAGTCTCTCCACTTCATCGGTGTTCTTCGTCATCAGATGACCAATGCGCAGGATAGATTCGACCGCATACAGAGCATGATTGTGTCTGTAGAATTTCTCATTTCCGGAAAATATTTCCAGGCACTGGAGAACAGACCTGAATAGGTAGAATGATAATAATAATACTGGGAAACTGACTGTCACTTTTTCTGGTTCGTGTGATTCACTTATAACTTGTGGCGCAATTTGCTTTAGATGGTCAGAGATCCAAATTGGATACTGTAAAATAATTCTAGTGATACATATATGTATATATGTATCTTGGTATATATGTTTTTTTCTTGATTCTATCGTATACGTACATTAGAAGTTGACCACGGGAACAAACGAGGGCTTCGCAGAGGACGCTAACAATGTCGGAATTTATTAGCTTCTCTACCAGAAGATTTCGTGCTGCCGCTGACTCTGTTTGCAATTCATTGTTCAACCATTCAACGGCTGTCGTCTGGAAGTATATGGATAAATGGTGTAAGAGATCTGTCGCCCTTATTATATGAAGTACGTAGAAGTACAAGTGAAATGATTATTTACTTGTGCAGCTTTGTCGCGAGACATTAATTGCTTTTTAGCTTTTTGTATTGCAAAGCTGATATCGGTTTTCTGCATTTTGATTTGAAGAACGGTTACTTTAGAAATATTCGTAGTTGATATGACGAAGGAGCTGTAGTTGTCTTAGTAGTTACATCTGCCGCCGCAAGATGGCAGTTTCTGGTTCGATCCGGGTAGTAAAGAAGATTCTGGTCAAATAGGATTTCGTTGTCAGTCAAAGTAGTACCTATGGCAGACGAAGACATTGGCCTGTATTCGGAGTCAGTTCTTCGTTTTAAGTACGATCTTAAGACATCCTCTACCATGTGTTATTAGTGCTATTATATATCTACGGTCTTAAGATTGTGCTTCGTCGCAAGCACTGACTATGAATACGGACCTTATAGTTATGAAATATAAATCAAATAATCTGTATGTTAAGTATTACAAAACAGAATTATCATACCTACCAGGGACCGCAACCGTAACGGAAATCGAAATGAATAACCGATTATAACCGGAAAAAACAAAGAATTGAAACCGTAATGGAAACATGAAATTGCTATAGTAGAAAACCGAAAACGAAACTGTTAACCGGAACGTATTTTATTTATAACGGCAGAGATGAGTAGGGAGATTGTCAGTGGGCCGATTTATTTGAAAGCAATTTTATTTTGGCATCGACGCGCCACCTGAGCGGAAAGCCCTCGAACCAGTGTCTCGGTTTTTATTGGAGCATTACATATTGTAAGAAACGGTAAGACTAAACGTGAATTCGTGATCTCCGTCAAGTGCATGGATTTATACCGGGTGGCACTCTAAAGCGTATGTATTCCATATGATGTATCCTGTCTCACGTTTGTGATTGGCGTATACTCACGACGTATACTTAAAATTGAAATTAACTCAAAATTGAATTGAAATTGTAAAATGTTGGAAATAAACTATGCTCAAATTAAAATATTAATAAATTAAGTTTGGAATATTAAAATAATTAATTAAATCAATAAAGTAATATCATAAAATGAATAAAAATAAAGATGTCAAGAAGTAGAAAAGTAACGAATAGAGGTATAAAAGTCGACAAGAAATAAGGAAAGAGATAAATAAGAAACTAAAGAATGAAAGATAGAGAAATAAAGAAGTAAAGAGGATATAAATATAGAAGAAAAAGAAGAAAGTTGGAAATGGATAAGAGTGGGAATTCCAAGAGACCAGTATAGGAGACCAGCTCGAGGAAGAATGAGCGCTCTGAGTTCGGGCACTGCCTCAAGTGCCCCCCCCCTCGACGGTTGATCCCTTTCGTCGAATCCTGCACAAAGAATTTGGGCGCACCCAATTTTGGGTAACTTCCAGTACTTCTAAGTATTCTTGGTCAGGAATTCTGATTTCTAAGTGTTAATATCTAACTTTATTGATTTAATAAATTAATTTAATATTCCAAATACTTAATTTATTAATATTTCAATTTGAGCGTAATTTATTTTCGACATGTTACAATTTCAATTCAATTTCCATCTATTCCTGAATTTTATATTTTGAATAAATTTCAAAAGTATGTATACGTTCGACCAATCACTAATGTGGGACTGGTTCGATACTTCTCCGTCTGATGGCGTGTCAACACCATAATACACACATTTAGAGTACCACACGGTATAAATCCATGCATCTCACGGAGCTCACAATTATCACGCGTAGTATATGTATCTACATATATGTATATACTGTAACGTAATTCTTTTCCTTGACCCGGCACCGATAGCAAAACATACGAGAACGACTATCTTCGAGAACCAACCTACGTTACCTTCGGCCGTCCACCCGTCGTTCGTGCATCCGCAAGCCAGGCGGCCGCCAGTCAATTCTTTTTTCACCGGGAACTGACTAGCCGGTATAGACTGGGAGTTGGGGTGGAATAGGCCCAACTCCACCAAGAACGAGAGCTCTGACGGAACCTATCGGATGAGGCGACAGCTTAACGGATCCTGACGATTTTTGGGGACGCGTAAAATCGAGAAACGCAACCGTAGGTGCTGATCTTTGGGGTCGCGTAAAATCAGCAAACGCAACTGGACACACGAACGGGAGCGGACGGTTACGGAAATGCACGGCCGCTCAGGCTGCTAGGTTTGAGGTAGAGAGGGTCGGAGTAAGAGTCCGGTAAATAGTGCGAGACACAGAGAGCGACGAACCGAGAACGTATCAGAACGAATCTTAACTATCTATCGAGATCCCTTCACCAATTAATAAATTGGGAATCCTCACCGGAGCTGGTGCAGCTAATCCGTGGAGGCCGAGAACTG